GATGAAGTCCGATTCAAGTGTCTCACTATAAGCTGTCGACAAAAAGCTACAGCTGTAGAATTAATAAGTACCCTATCCAATCTCTTTCTAACCCGACCATTGGTCCAAGTATATCGGTTTCCAATGAAACCCGCATCCTCTAAACCACAGTCTAACATCATATCAGAGAAATCAGTAGTGCCACGATTACGGGTATTATGACCAGTGCGCTCTCCATCATGTGTAATAACATTAAAGTCTCCTCCAACTAGCCAAGGATCGTCCATATCGAGGGAGATGTGGTGAAGACCTGCCCACAAATCTCTCCTGATAGTAGCATCGCATGACGCATAGACTGGAGTCAAATAGATAGCACGTGCTAGTCTGGGATCCTCAACTCTAACGTGAAGAAACTGGGGATGATCAACAATAACAGTAACATTAGTCCCCGAATTCCAGAAAAACCAGATCTTATTCGATTCATTCTGAGCTCCCATGTCAAAGCGTAGATAGCATCGTGTATATGCAAAATTCTGCATCAGAACAAAAGGCTCCAATAGAACTAGAAGATAAATCTGATGAAGCTGTATAAGATTCTTCAGGCGCCTACGAGTAGCTACACTAGCTACACCTATCACATTCCAAATGATGGCATTCATAGGGAAGGAGAATGTGAGGAGGTATCATGTGACTGACTCCGAGTGATCCTTCTGCTCGGATGTGGAGTATCAGTAGCCCGTGGGTGTCTCTTCTGAACAACTGGGATAAATCCATCATCCTCTGTCCTCTCATCCAAACCCACCAAGTCATCAGAAGAAGATCTTCGAAAAGGTCCCTGCTGGTGAACCTCAATCTGAGGTGAGCCCTCTGTATGTGAATGCGCTGACTGCAAAGATGGAATAGATGCCTCCACATTTTGATGACAAATAGGAGGAGAAGAAGTGGAAATAGGTCCCTGAGCCCTATCCGGTGTCGGGCCTGGAATGTAAGAAGCTCTGCTGACTGTGTCTGCTGTAGAATTCTGTGTCTGTGGCCTCTTCAATATCTCATCCAACATAGGATCATAAAATGGAGTGATAGGTGGACTGATAGCCTGAGTAGGAGCTGAAGGAGTGGTAGATGTAACTGGATCTACAACACTGATAACTGGTAAGGCTGTAGCAAAGGGAGGAGCAACTGGAGAAACAGATGGCTGGGTCTGAGCATGTGAGCTAGTGCTAGTAGGTTATGGGACTGATGTGATGACAGTGGACACAGAAAGTGGAATCTGAACTCCAGATGTGCTAGCATCGTGTTGCCTCTTCTGATCT